CATGATGTACTCTGCATATAAGTTAAATAAGCAGGGTGACAATATACAGCCTTGATGTTCTCCTTTCCCAATTTTGAACCAGTCCTTTGTTCCATGCCTCATTCTAACTGTTGTTTCTTGACTTGCATACAGGTTTCTCAGGAGGCAGATAAGGTGGTCTGATATTCCCATCTCTTTCAGAATTTTCCACAGTTTGTTGTTATCCACACAGTCAAAGGCTTGGGCATAGTCAATAAAGCAGAAGTAGATGTTTTTTTCTGGAACTCTATTGCTTTTTCAATGATCCATCACCCCCCACCCCATATAAAGACAAAACCTCCAGGTCAGCACTCAATCAATATTTTCTCCTCTTTTGAGACAAAGTTCCTGAAAGGTCTCAGAGGCTCCAAAGGAAGTAGGAAAATCTCAAGGATTTTCTCTTTTTGGGGGGGAAACTCCCTTAAGAATACCCATCTGATTATCACTAATCACTCTAATCACCTTTGTAAGAAGACAGTAGTTGACAAAACAGCAGCAGTAGAGCACATGTAGTTTTCTAGAACAGAACTACTCTTTCTTCTTTTTATGAGTGAGCAGAATGTGTGAAGAGATCATAAAAAGAAATCTTTCACCTTTAAAAAGGTGTATTGCCTAGTGTTTTATTTAAGGTAGGAAAAACTGTCAGCTGCACAGCCCAGGTTTTCCTCTCCTCCCTGTTACCCACGTCCACTAAGCCCCTGGCCACACCAGTCCCACAGGACTGGGCAGAGATGTGTTTTAGGAGGGCTTTATTGTTGTCAGAACATCATCCCTGTTGCTTGAGCACCATGGACAGATGCCAGGCAGGCACTGGAGCTGGCCTCCAAGCGGATCCAACTCAAAATGCAGATCGTTAGAAAAAGCCTTTTCCAATGATTTACTGACTTAATAAACCATGGATATGATAAGCAACAGCAGTTACTCACAACTGGCCTGGCAAGGCTGAAGAGGTTCCCCAAGTACCTAAACAGGGTTCACTCCCCTCTTCTGTATTATCTCCTCAATTTACTTATCACTCCTCAATTTCCAGGGCTCTCATTTGAGCAAAATTAATCAACCACAGTCATGTAATCCAAGGCCTTGGATTTGAAATTTAAGAAGCTGTACGTGTTAAAATTTAGGTTTAAAATATAAGATTTGAGAAACAGCTTCAGTGTCCTGCAGAGTCATTGCTATGGTCCAAACCCCAAGGTGTTATACTGGATGGAGTCAGGCAGACAGAGAAAGACAAATACCATATGGAATCTAGAAACGGCTACAGATGAACTTACCTACAAATCAAGAATGGAGTGACATTTGTGGAAAACAGACTTATGATTACCAGGGGTGGACTGCTGTGCTAAGTCACTACAGTCGTGTCTGACTCTTTTTAACCTCATGGACTGTAGCCCACTAGGCTCCTCTGTCCATGGAATTCTCCAGGCAAGAGTACTTTAGTGGGTTGCCATTTCCTTCTCCAGGGAATCCTCCCCACCCAGGGATTGAACCTGGGTCTCTGGCATTGCAGGCAGACTCTTTACCGACTGAGCCACCAGGGGAGCTGTGGACATGAGGGATCCTTTAAAGGATTTTAAACCTGGAAGTGACGCAATCAGGTTGACATTTTAAACTTCCAGAAGCTGATCTTCTAGCCTGAGGGGGAAAGGAAGGACGGGTAGTGGGATGGGGACTCTAGCAGACAGTAAGTTAAGAGAAGTTATGTGAGTTTGGAACCACATTTTTAATTACCTTTAAATAAAATAGACACTAAGTTCATGAAATGTCACATAGAATCTGATGTAATATCATTTTCTACCTCTGAATGAGGCCCTGTAAATGGGGGCAGGCTGCATATGAATTAGTACAACAATAAACCAGCAAAGTTCTTCCATGACTATAGTCAAAAGTCATTTTCTTCTGGGAATGCCAATCCCAGAAGCATCCAAATAATGAAACTGTTATAAAATGATTAAGAAAAAATTAATCATGGGATTGGCTTGATCATTTTCTGTGGAGGGTGGTTTGCAGAGATGGTGCTATCTGCTGAAACAAGAATGAAAAGTTGGCAGGGTCATGGTGGCCCAGGCCCTGTGAGTGACCCAATCATCGGCACCATAGCAGTCTCTCTGTGAGTCAGGAGTGGTAGCACCCGTGGTCATCTATGTGTTCTGGTGGATTTTAAGGTGCTAACTTGCAAAGGTGAAAGGTATATTACATCATACAATATCTTTTTTCCAACTGCCAACAAGCACCACCTATGTATTTGGGGTAGAACTGCAGAGATGGAAGAGAACTGACACAAGGTTGTGGGAATGCTTTGGTGGGATTCCCAAGCTGGGAAACATTACTTGTGGAATGTCTCTTTCACAGAAAGAGAAAACAAGAGGCGAGGCAAGTGGAGCTCAGTTACACCATAAGCAGGTGCCAGTTTGCCGGAGTTAGAACCGGAGTCTCTTCAGACTAGCTCTGTTCTGGAGGCAAAGGTCTTCAAATGTGAGTAGTTAAGTACCAATAGTTTTTAAGCACTTTGTTCAAATTGCAGGAAATAGAGCTGCTGTCTTCACAGCGCCTTCTTGCCAAGTCTGAGGGCACTCCTGGAGTCAGGACTTCACTCCACTGGAGGTGCTGGGCCCATGGAGGGCCATGTCCAGCTTCCTCTGGCTGCGATCACAGTTCCTCCCACCTGGTTCCAGCCTGGTCTTGGTGTGATCCAACGGCCAGAAATGTTTCAGCCTGGTAGTGGCCCATGGGGCCACAAAAGTAACTTTTGACTTTTTCCCAGGAATAAGAATTGAACTCTTAAGTTGAGAACGAGTTGGTGTTTTTATACTTGACATGAACACATTTTAAAAAGCTGGCTCCACACCTAGACAAAGAGGCCGATGAAAAGTTACCTTTGTTTTCCCTGCTCCCCAGATCACACCCATCAATTTGGTGATGATCTTTTCTTTATCGGTTTTGAGTTTCCAACAGTTCCCTGAATCCAGAGCCCTCTGAGTCTCTCATCTGTGTAAGGAAAGGAGGTTCAGATCCCTGCGGTGATGGCTACCCAGATTCTTTAGGGTTCCTTAGCTCTTCTTGCGTTCGTGTTGGCCAATGACTGTTCAATGTTTCCGCCTTCCCACATAATCTGCTGGTTTGGGTGCCAGCAAGGCTCCACCCACACCGTGCACTAGAGGGCAGTCATGGTGCCCGCCACACACAGTCCCTGCCCAGGGCCACCATCTTATCCATCCTTGGTTGGAGGGACAGACCCTCATAGCCACATTTTGCACCACTTAACACTACCCATACCTTGGCCTCAACTGATTGGTTCAAGGATGACCACTTCATTCTAGAACAGTCTGCTCTATAAATAGGCCTAGTGCCAAAAGTCTTGATACAGCCTATTAGATTCTCTCTTGGGGACCTACAGTGGTTATATTAGGTGATGGGGAAAATTAAATGACGGGACCTAAGGACGGGGGGAGGTCTTAGTGGGAAGGGCCACGCCCACACCCACTTTATTTGGAGTATTTCCACTCTCATCAGCTTTAAACATTAAGATGCTACTTGCAGACAAGAAAGGTTTTTACTGCTTAAAAGTGTTAGCAAAATCATAAAGAAGAGAAAAAAATAGAACCAAAGAAGCTTAAGGAAGTTAGAAAAGAGTTAGCCAACAGGTGAAAGAGGAGGTGGTAGGTCCTGGGAGAAAGACAGAGTCCCATTAATGTAGACCACCGACTCCAGACCCATGCACTTCTGTTTTTCTGGGACCCTCCAGCTCTTCCTGGATGCCCTGGGGCCCATGCATGTGTATATTTACAGTAAACAGTCATGCCCCCCTCCACCACTCCCCCACTATCCAATCCCTTCAGGCAGCTGAGTGTTTGGTTCTGCATCTGAAGGGCTGTTAAAAGAACCCCTAAAAACCCAAGAGGGTGGTCCACAATGAAAAAGATTTTAACTCAAATAGATCACAGCTCTTGGCCTATACTTAAAGGACTTGATCTCTGCATCATTTTTCAGGTATTTTAGGCCCTAAAGTTGGCCTATTTTTTGTTTTTGTTTTGCTTTTTGTTTGTTTTATTTTAGTCCCATAATCTCTTAGGTCAAAAAATTTAGAAGTCTCCAGATCCCAGATTGGGGGACCCTGATCAGATACCTCTCAGTGTTGCTTTTTAAAGTTCTCCTCCTGATGCCAGGATGGAATAGGACGGAGGTGAAGGAAGGGCCTGGGGCAGAGGTACAGGCAAAGGTGACAGCTCCTTTCCACTAGTCAGCAAGCTCCATGCGACAGGGCAGAGCCTGGCTTCCCTCTGTACGCCAAAACCTAGCTCAGCGCCTAGCATACGGCAAGTACTGAATATACATTTACTGACAGGCTGGCTGACTAATACACATTTACTGACAGGCTGATTGACTGACTGACTCCAGGTAAGATTCCTGCTTTCTGGGACAACCCTCATCCCTCTGAGAAGTAAGTCTATATTATCTTTCTTCAAGAGTCTTAATTCAATGGTAGAAATTCAGACAGTTAATTATTTTTCCATGGGGCACTAGGTTATCTTTGGAAATAGGATGCTTGGTGGCCTGTCCTGATATCCCAGAGTCTCCTCAGAGGGAATGTGAATTAACCACCCCTCTGTAATTCCATTAACTTTTTAATGGTTACCTAAGTTAAGTAGTTTCCACATAATTTTCATAAAATTATGCAAATTCTGAGGCCTAAGCATTTCAAATTCAATGAAAGTTAACTGCCTGTATTTTCATTTCTGAAAACTCACACTGAGATAAAAGTCTTGGGTAAAAATATTCACAGCAGTTGGCAGAATTACATGAGCAATTATTTAATGCAAAGAAAACGATCTCAAATTAAAAAGTTAATGGAGAATGGAATCGAGAACTGTCATTTTAAGGTAAGCTTGTACAGATGTGACTTTTTTTTCACTACACCAGAACACTTTTGTAAGTCAAACAAGTGGATAAATATCAGAATAGAAGTCAAAAACTTATGACTGAGCTCCTGTTACCACCATTCCAAAGGGTCTATTTTCAGACAAGCTACTTTTTCTTAAAGAGAATGTAAACAGAAATTTAAAAAAACTTTTTGGGTGGATAAAACCAATTCTTTCCATTCTTTTAACTACAGATACATGCTTTTATTGACTATAAGATAGTTGTACAAACAAATATGCCAAAAGAGATAGTAAAGCCACATTACCTCAGAGTAGATAAACATTTGCTTCCCAATTTGGGACAGAACAAGGAAAAAGCAAGACAAAACTGTCCCACATATTTTGGAGTCTGGAGAGAGGCAGTCAAGAAGATTGATTTTAAGTATTTTACAATGTCCAAGTTGTAAGCAGATACCTGACTTTTACAATATGTATGTGTAAAATTTCCTTCTTTGGCCAAAAGTTAAAAAAAAGTCAAATAATCTCTTTCTGGGCCAATCAGACTAAACGAATCAATGCGAAGAGTCAGGGGAAAGTTACGTGCAGTTTTAGAGTCATTACTGTTACAGACTTAATGGTTTTAATCTCCCAGTTCTTAAAAAAAACAGCAAAGTCAATGGGAATCTCTGCCATATCATTTAAGGAACTTTTGACTCACTGAGGAGGCAGTGGCATTATTTAGTTATTGGCAGGGCAAAAGTGACTTTCATTCAGTCACTTATTCATTCAAGTGCATTTACTGAGTTCCTCTTCTGTGCAGATCATCTAAGGGAAAGAAGTCTGAACCAGATATAGCTGCTGCCTCCTCTCCCAGCCCCCTATGTGGGATGCCTAAGGCAGAAACCTTCAATAGAGACAGAAAGCATCTGAGGCTCTAAAATAGAAGGAGCCTGGAAGCAGAGGCATGAGAGAAGACTGGGCAGTTGGAAGATGGTCGGGTTTGCCAAGAACCTGGTATAAATAAAGGATGGTGCTTGGGATTAAGTCTGAACAAACAGACTGGACCCCAAACAGGAAGGCTCTTCAATGCCATGCTGGGGAGTTCCACCTCCATTAGGTGGGCTGTGGGGAAGTTGTTACAGGGTCTCGAGGCAGAGAATGGTTTAAGAGAGGCAGTTCGAGAAGATTCACCTGGCAAAAACAGTACATAGAACACAGCAGAGGGGAGAAACGCCAATCAAGACAGCATTACTACTCTCAGAGACAGGGACCGAGGACAGCTGAGGGTACAAGTGAAGGCAGATCCAGAAAACACGGAAGGAAAATGGCGGGACGACGGGGAGGGCAAGGGAGCTAGTATTTATAGGGGACACACCACGTGCTACTCTGCCACCTAATAACAACACATGACGCAGGATGAACACGTGTCCTGTTCTTCTCAGCATAGTCTGAGTTTCTGCCTTTCTTTCTCTCTTCATTCTTTCCTTCCCTTCCTCCCTCCCTCTTTCTTTCTTCCCTTCCTACCCTTCCTCCCTCTTTCTTTCTCTCTCATGGAATAATTATTAACAATGGCCTCTTTCATTGTCAACATGTTCTGGTTTGGATGATATGTTACACAACCATGTTTCACATATCTCCCTTCTTGATTCCTCAAAAGAATTCTCCAGTTTACACATGAAGAAGCTGAAGATTTGAGGAGCTGCCCAAAGGCATGGAGCCAAAAAGTGGTAGAGCCTGGATTTGACCTCAGATCTACACAGTCCCCAAACCCTCGAACTTTCTCCAGTGTCACAAGTTTCCTGCCCCCGACTTGTGACAGGCGGCAGAGGGCAGGGCAGAGGGGAGGTTGATTAAAACAAACAGGGACATCAGAAAGAGTCAAGGTCAGGTAAAAGATGACGTGTTCTGGTTTGGCTGTGTGGTCTGTTAGGTCTTTAAGGTGCTGGAAGGATATGGAAGCAGTTGGAGGTATTGGCTGAAATCTGGGAACAAAATCACACTCCAGTTACAGATCTGTGAGCTTTCCAAATCAACAGATGCAGGGCCCTGGGATTGCATGACGTCGCCAAGCAGGAGACTGGAGGACAAAGGTCACAGCTCAGATTGGTGCAGGGGCCAGGCAGGTAACACGTGTGAGTGAGGCGGCAGTGGCAGAAGGAGGCATTTGTGAGGATTATCTTAATTTCTTCCAGACAGTATTTGCAGTTTTATAGAAATAATACGATCCTTAAAACAGTAGTCCATTTCTTCACTGAAGTTGGCAACTAGAGCAATTTCTAGTACTTTCATTAAAATCACAATTTATTTATTAAAAAACCAGTAATTTTGTTAACCATAAGACTTAACAGAACAGAAAACTATCAAATGTAGTCATTCAATTTTTGTCCACAGTTTTATGCTAGGAGAGGCCTTAAATGAGAGGGTTTTGTTTTTTTTTAAGTGCAGTTAGTTCTTTATCAGAATCACGAGCTACCTGCAAGTATGTTAAAACAAACTGCAGTGCATTTTTACCATCCTAAGTAATATAGGAACCTGTGAGTAGGGGTTGGCAAGAGGGAAGAGGAAGATGGGGAGAGAAGAGGGGTGGGGGTAAAGAGCAGAGTGCATTTCAAAAAG